GTACTCCAATGTGCAGGGTTTTCACTTCAGAGCACTCAAATGAAAAATCAAATAAATAAACCACGCTTTTAGAAGTTTGTACGGCTAAGTGTGTATTCTGACACAGATCTGGGAAGCTCTCTATTGATGAATGATTCAGCATTATTGCGTGCCTACTCTACTACACAGACACTAAGGACTTTTCCCTCATGGGAAAAGTTGCATTTGAATTTAAATTTAAAATCAAGTTGAAAGGAAAGATATACAAGGATCAAGTGGAGTATCTGAACTGGACATATAAAGAACCAGGCAGAGTTTGTAGAATTTTGTAGCACATTCATACCCAAATCAGCTCCAAATTAAATGCATTTTGATCCCTGGTTGATTTGTTGATGGTGAAGTTTGACTGGAGAGCAGTGCTTTACTAACAGTTGCACGAAGCAATGTATGGGCTAAGTGGAGATGTTTGAAGGCTGTTGAAATTAATATAACAGTCTTTGAAAGGAAAAGACTCAATGAGGTAGAATGATAATAATGAAATTATAAGTTAATAAATGAGTTGAGGGCCTGGCGGCTTGGCCTGGTGGCTGAAGTTCTTGCCTTGGACGCACCGGGATACCATATGGGCGCTGGTTCTAATCCCAGCAGCTCTACTTGCCATCCAGCTCCTTGCTTGTGGCCTGGGAAAGCAGTCGAGGATGGCCCAAAGATTTGGGACCCTGCACCCGCATGAGAGACCCGGAAGAGGTTCCTGGTTCCCGGCTGTGGATTGTCATGGTACCAGCCTTTATGGTCACTTGGGGAGTGAGTCATCGGACGGTAGATCTTCCTCTCTGTCTCTCCTCCTCTCTGTATATTTGACTTTGTAATAAAAATAAATAAATCCTTAAAAAAATAAATAAATGAGTTGACATAGTCTGGTAATACATCATCAATTATCATCTATTTAAAGTGAGATTTGGAGAAACCCGTAATAATTTTGCGAAATTTGTGAATTACTAAATTCATAATAGAACGAAGTTTACTTGTACATGACTACAAGTTTAGGAAGGACTTACCCCAACTATTAAAATCAAAAGAAAGGGAGGCAATTTTTCCAAACTCTTTCTATGAAGGCAATATTTTCTTTCTCCCAAAGCCAGAGACATAACAGAGAAAGGAAATTGCAGATTGAATTGATATGCCTAATAAACACAGATGCAAAAATTCTCAACAGAATACTAGCCTACGGCGTCCAACAACATACAGGAATGGCATTCACCCAGACCAAGTTGGATACATACCTGACATGCAGGGATGGTTCAACATGCAAACCAATAAATGTGATTAAGCACATAAACAAATTGAAAACTAAACACCATGTGATTGTCTCCATAGATGCAGAGAAGGCTTTTAAAATCCAATACCACTATATGCTAAAAACCCTAGGCAAGTTAGGCATGGAAGGAATATTCTACAGTACAATCAAAGCAATGTATGAAAGACTGAATGCCAGCACCGTATTAAATGGGTAAAGACTAAGTTTTTCCACTAAGATCTGAAGCTAGGAAGGATGTCCACCTTCACCAATACTGTTCAGCACAGCATTGCAAGTCCTTGTTTGAGCTATTAGGCCAGAAAAAGAAATGAAAGGAATTCAATGTGGAAACAAGAAATGAAATAATACCTTTTTGTAGATCACTCTCTATTCATTTGAGAATCAAAAGACTCAAACAAGAGACTACTGGAACTCGTAAGAGAGTTTGTTAGGGTAGCAGGGTACAAAATTAATGGACACAAATTGATGGCCAAATACCCCATGGCCCAGAAAGAACTTTTAAGTGCAGCCCCCTTTAAAATAGCAGAAAATAATCTTAAATACATTGGAATAAACTTAATCAAAGATGTGAAAGAACTCTACGATAAAAACTACAAAAAATTTTAAAATAGAAGACATTAAAGATAGAGAAATTTATCATTTTCCTGGATTGGCAGAATCAATGTCATTAAAATGTTTATATTACCAAAATATTATACAGATTCAATGCAGTCCTAATCAAAACCCAGCAGCATTTCTCTCAGAAATAGAAAATTGCATAGGTGAGTTAATCTGGAAACACCAGAGACCACAAGAGACAAAGCTATCCTGGCGAATGAAAATAAAGGTGGAGGAAAAACAAACTAGCGCAGTATGGTTCCAGTACAGAAAGAGAGAATGATCAGTGCAATAGAGCAGAAACCCCAGAAGCGAGCCCACACATGGTGTAGGCCCCGGTCTCCCAAGGGTTAACTCCACAGCTCAGCTGTTTCTCAGAGGTGTAACAGGAAGGGTAATCATGGCCTGATACATTTAGCCCATGGCCTGACTGCAATTTCCCTCCTTCCTGCCTCCCATTCTTGCACGTCCTGACTGCAATTTCCCTCCTTCCTGCTTCCCCTTTTTGCATGTCCTTGGGGGAGCTTAGGTGTTGCTTAACCATTGGGAAGATCCTGGGAGGGGCCAAGCAAACTATATAAGAGAGTTCGACTTTGAATAAAGGCCTCACTTCACAAGAATGAGTCTCAGTGTGTTGTGTGTCTTGTCTGTCTCATAACCCTAGTCCCTCCGCTCGACTCGGGGCTTGAGGTACGTGGCAATGCAGGCGTTGCCTACAACATGGATAGCCAACAAATCTTCAACAACAGGCCTGGAAAGAATCCAGGAAAAAGTTTGGCCTCTTCAACAAATGCTGTTGGGAAAATTGGATAGCAGCCTGCAGGAGAAAGAACCAAGACCCTTCACCTGTCCCCTTATACAAAAACTAGCACAAAATGGAATAAAAAAAATCTGAATCTGTACCCAAAAACTCTCACTATTAGAGGAAAACATAGGAAGTAGCCTACAAGATATAGGAATTGGGAAAGACTTAGAAGTGTCACCAAAAGCAGAGGGAGTCAAACCAAAATAAACAAAACTCAAACTAAGCAGTTCTGTGCAGCAAAGGAAACAATCAACAGAGTGAAGAAGCAACCAATAGACTGGGAGGAAATCTTAGAACACTACACAATCGATAGGGAACTAACATCCAGGATTTACAAAGAGCTTCAGAAACTCTACAACAGCGAAACAAACAACCCTGTGAAGAAATGGGTAAAGGAAATGAACGGACATTTTTCAAAAGAAAAAATTCTAATGGCTAGGAGACATGAAAAAATACTCAGGCTACCAAGGTATTATGGAGATACAAATGAAACCACATTGAGGTTCCACCCAACTTCAGTGAGATCGACCTACATTCAGAATTCTACTAACAATACCTGCTGATATAGATATTGGGAGAAAAGTACTTCACTGTTAGTGGGAGTGCAAGCTAATGCAACCACTATGGAAGTCAGTCTGCAGAGTGCTAAAAATACTGAAAATTGACCTGCCGTATGACCTGGCTTTCCCACTCCTGGGAATATATCCCAAGATAGGAAAATTAGATTACAAGAAAGTGACCTGGAACCCTATATTTATAGTGGCACAATCTACAACAGCAAAGACAAGGAAACAACCTAGAAGTATATAAAGGAGGAATGAATGAAGAAACTGTGGTAAATCTGCTCCATGGAATGCTACTCAGCCATTAAAAAAGGATGAAATTCTACTATTTGCAATAAAATGATGCCAACTAGACACCATTAAGTTCGGTAAAACATGCCAGTTTCAAAAGGACAACAGCATACATTCTCTCTGATGTAAGGGAAATTCATGGAAAGTACAAAACAAACAGACAGATGAGCAAGCATGCTTCTACAAATCTTCTCACAGAAAAAATGTGGCATGGAGACGGAAACACTGGAAAGTGAAGATACATCACGGTACGTATCTCTACTGCTGAATGACAGGAGGACTCCCAGTGAAACTGTTAAATATATATTGTCAATAAGACACTAGATTTTCTACCACTTTCTATGCCTACATGCCATGAAACATTTCAGTAACGGTGTGCTGGACTTTTGACTATTGCTTAAGGTCTATACTACTGTAATAACGGGGGTGGGGGTAAGAGTGGAAAGATAGGGGGGAATGTTGAAAGGAGGCATTCTTGTGCCTATGGAAGTTTATCATGAAGACATTTAAAAGTAAATTTAAAAAACAAGTTAATACATTGAACTATGGGAATTCTAGAAAGGAGCAGAAATATTTTGTAAGTCACTTTGGCAAAGTTTTGAGTGGTAGAAAAACGATGCTGAAATGCAGAAGTTACAACCTTATCCCCTTTATATGTTTTCTCTGATCTGATTAAACAGTGAAAGCTATCATTGGGTACATTCCACTGAAGTGTCAGACACTGCAAATTAGTCAATTAAATCAGGACCTGTGTTTTTTACATCATGTGATTCAAGGTCCTGCAGAATGAATATATATTCATATACACACAAAGAGAGAGAGAAGACAGAGACAGAGAGAGATCTTGCTTCACAACAAATCACAGACAGAATCTGAATGGGAGGCCAAGCTACTGGCACATAAGGCGGTGATGGAGGAAAGATGAACCTTCCCATTGACACCACCCACAGGGGTGCTAGTTTGGCTCTTGCCTCAGCTCCAATCACAAGATTCATAAGATTTAGTTGCACTTATGTCTCATTATCTGTGTGCTGCAGGTTGAGAATAACTGTTGAATAAATTAGCATCAGATCAGAGAGCATGAAATTAAGGACACAAATAATGTGAGATGCAACATGGTAAATTAAAAACAAGTTGAAGACTTTTGAAGTTCCCAGAGCCACTTTTACGGAAGAGAAGGATGATTTCAATTCACAGAGAATATAAAGTATACACAAGGGAATTGTCTAATATTCATTTCTCCCTTTATGTTTTTAGCCTCATGGAGGCAGTGTGCTCAGTAGAATAATTGATTAGGGGATCAAAGATACAGAATTATCTTCCCAACTGCAGTAGCGTGTTTGGGAGCAGAAGTAACAAAATCCAGATATGTTTATTCGTTGATACAGATACTAGTTTCTAAAAACAAAGTTTCATATACACATAGATTTATATAAATTGCACTTACTTTTGGTCACAACACCTTCTAAGTGGATGATGTTAGGATGATCAAACTGCCCCATGATGCTTGCTTCGCCGAGGAAATCTTTGCGCTGCTTCTCTGTATAGCCTACTTTCAGCGTTTTGATAGCCACAGGCAATTCTCTTTTACCTGGTAGTTTCAACCGTCCACTACAAACTTCACCAAATTCACCTTGTGATAAAGACAGAGAAAACATAATCTTATTTTAAATTCTTACTATAATCTACCCTTCACATTATTAAAAATTAGACCAAAATTAGCACTTGGGAAGCAGTAGTATAAACTTTACTATCCATCGTATTGGAAATAAGTAGCAAACTGGGAAAAGTCATCTACAGGTGCTCATAAGACCCTGGGTCACCAACTACAGTCACTTCATCTACAAAACCACTGTGGGAATGTTTGAAAGAAAGTAAAAGCCAGGAACTTCAAATTACACCCTCATTTCCTGCTCTTTCTCCCCCAAGTACTATTGATAACAAAACAAAGACAAGAAAAGGTTAAAACTATCCAAAAGGTAAAAAAGTAAGACAGAAATGGATTGGACAGTAGAAACAATTTATCAAATAGATGATGAGATATTATTTATCCAAATTTAGACTAGAAACTCAATACATTAAGCGTATATGAAAGACAAGGTTGTACTATGATATGGCCAACTACATGCAAGTCTGAAACAAAGACAAGTATGAAAAGTTAAATCATCCTGTGTTGGACCAGGATAGCGATCTACGACATTGCGTAATACAAATAAAACCAGAAGTGTAAAGGAGACTCGTCTCACCTGCTCCAATAACTCTTTCAATGGTTATACATGAAGCTTCTATCTCCTTGGCAAATTCATGGACCGCCTGGTTGGGATCCTCATAGGTATGTGGGTCAATGTAAGTTCTTACTCCAGGCAGTTTAACTGAAAAATAAATGTGCATCAAAATGGCAGTGCTAGTAGTGGGTAAGCAACAGTATCAACCTTATTAATATGTTCCTATGGTTCACATCTCTAGTTCCTAGAAGGACGGAGCTGAGCTTCAATAACGGATGATATGCAGAACTCAGAGTCCCTCGCACAGCTTCTGTATATAGTCTTTGTCATTTCAAGAAAATCTGGACTGCCTGCATACACAAAAAATGCATGTGTCACCATGTTTTTGAATAAGTGCATCTTTCCTTGACAAAATTCAGAAATCAGCATCACAGGTAAAATAAGACAGCTTTATTTATTAAATTAGACAATGAGAGGCTACGTCTCTGCTTTCTTGGCTACACTGTTATTTAGATATATTACACATTACTCACTTTGATTTTATAAAAAGTAATTTCAAGTAACTTACAGTGGTCTGTTACAATAGTGACTAAACAGAAACATCAAAAGAAAAGGAGGCTCCTACATACTGCTTTGCTGTTGTCACTGCAAGACAGTAAACCATACTTTTCTGTTTTATGACCCTATTTTATCACTTGAAAGACTAGCAATATCGCATTCATTGTGTGTTTGAGAATATAAACTAACCCTCTGAAATTGTCTGAACACTAAAACATGTTATATGGCTCTGGAGATCTACATTTTGTGTTCAAGCCAGAGTGACAAAATACAAAAGAAATCCTTTGCCGTTTCCTTGGCAAATTAACTTCAACATTACTATTAACAGAAAAAGAAACCTATTAAACTACCATGATTAGATCTTCCTGAGCCACATTTTTTAAATGATCTATTCTAATTTTGTTTTTGGTATGTATTTGTCTATTTATTTATTTATATTGTATAGGCAGATCATGTTTGCAGAGGGAAGGAGAGACAGAAAGATTTCCATCCACTGGTTTACTCCCCAAGTGTTCACAATGGTCAGAGCTCAGTTGAGCCTATCCAAGGCCAGCAGCTGCAGTTTCTTCTGAGTCTTACACACAGGTACGCAGGGTACGATGGCTGGGGGGCGTCCTCTTCAGCTTTCCCAGACCACAAGCAGGGAGCTGGATGGGAAGTGGAGCAGCTGGGACCCAAACAGGTGTCCATATTTAATCCTGGTGCTTGCAAGCCCAGTATTTAGTCACCGAGCCATTGCACCAGGCCAAAATTTTCTACATTTCTTTATGGTATTTTTTCCAAGTTCCTTGAACCTAGGCAGCTGTTCACAGGAATTGTAGTGTTGGATGAAGAAAAATGCCAAAAGGCATCATTTATTTTACCTAGGGTTGTGACTCAATGATGGATTTCTAGTGACAGTTAGGAATTAGAATTGGCTTGGAGAATTTATTTGAAATATAAAAGTTTTATGTTAAGCCTTTTATTTTTACTTGAATGATTATAACAGAAATATTCCTTAGAAACTGAATAAAACTAGGGGTATGTGTCATGGCTCAGCTGGCTGATCCTCTGGCTTCTGTCCAGGCTGCTCGGCTTCCCATCCAGCGCCCCTCTTACGTCCTGGAACAGCAGTTGAGGACGGCCCAAAGCTTTGGGCCCTGCTCCCACACGTGAGACCCAGAAGAAACTCCTGGTTCCTGGTTTTGGATTGGTTCAACTCCAGCAATTGTGGCCATTTGGTAAGTGGAACAGTGGATGGAAGATCTTTCTGATTGTCCTATCTGTACATCTGCCTTTTCAACAAAAATAAACACATCTTAAACAAAACAGCTCTTTCAAAGGCCAGCCAACAAAGCCAAAGCCCCATGCCTCCTAGAATCCTGACATAATTCCTGCATTTTCAACAAGGTGTTTTTGATCAATTGTGTAAAGAACAAGATGCTTTAAAAAACAGACATTCCCTATTCTGTTTTGCTTTTATTTTGCAACATGCTTACTGTGCCCATTATGAAAATGCATCTTTTCCTCTTCTGGATCTTGCTTTGCTTTGCTGTAGCCACACCGCCTGGAACAAAGTAAGCTACGATTAGCCTGGTCTCACATTGGTCAGTCACATCTGCCCAGAAACTTGGAAGGCTACTGAGATTACTACAACCCTAAACTAGTAATCATTCTGATAACGGAAACAGCACCCATATTCCTCCTGGATGTCACTGACTTCTGTCAGTATTCCTCCACACTTGGCTAACAATATTGCCTAGATTCCATGGGGAAATCTGTTCTCTGATCTCATTTTTTTTTTAACATCCCTGCACCTCACAGCCACATAGAAGCCTTTTTTTGTTGTTGTTCCCCTCCAACTCATTCTGTCAGCTCAGAGACCCCTTCTACTCCAGGACAAACTGCTCGAACTAGACTTCTGATACCAGTCTAGCAGGTGCACCACCCAGTTCTTTTGACTCTGTTTTCTTCTCTGTCAGTCTCTGTCACTCTTTATCTCTTTCCCTTGTGTGCAATCTTTAGCTGTTTTTCTGGATGTTTTTTATTCAGGTCACTATGAATTTTACCACAACCTGCAATGCCTTGCGATCCCATTCTGTAAGCCCTGGACTCTAATGCTTTTTCTCATAAACTCGTTAGTTTGCAGTTATCCCTGGTTGCTCAAAATGCCGACAAAACTTGTCCTGTTAAATCTCACAGACAAGCTCTTAACCTGTCCCTGCAAAGCCTGCATCTTGGCTGTCCAGGCTGCAGAGGCACGCATACCACTAAGGACTTCTCTCCAACTTCTGGCTTCTCCCTGGCTTTGTGCGGGGCCTTTCCTCATGTCCTCTGCATGAACTTCCTCAATTCTCCTTTCAACCTACTCATTTCTAACAATATAAGTAACACACTAAATCTCTGTATTCACTTTTGGACGATTAATTCCTTGTCCCAAATGTATTTATTCTCTATCGATAAATGCATTTCTGTGTAAAGATGATCCCCTGCATTTAATTCAATGGATCTGAAGTAAGATACAAGTGTATTTCTGTTTATATCATCCAGTGATTCCCTGTCTTTTCCTTTCATAACACTGTCATGTCCTTGGTTCCTTTCGGATCAAAGCTTTATTCCATGTGCCTCACAACAAATTAATTGTCCAATTCCACGCATTAAGCAATGTAGATAATTTACAAGTCATCTTTTCCTTTTCATTAGCTCTTCCTCAGCTGTAGCCTTGCTATTTCTTATCTGGATAACTATTAAGTGCCTCTGAGATGATTCTTCTTTGTTCTAGAACTTTTTCGCTAGACTATGCTAGACATATCTTTAGCCATACTAGAGCATATATAACTTTTAAATTGCATTAGCTATCTGCTGCAAAGTCATCAGTAAAGTAGCAAGGTAAACACTGCTAAATGCAGCCGGAAATCGTTGGTTGTGTCATGCCCAACCATCTGTCTTCAGGAGTATAAAACCTTTCCCTATAATCACCACGCTACTGCACCAGGCTTCTCTATGTTTGCAGTTCTTTAAGCTTCACTGAACCCGTCCTTCCTAATAATTTCCAGGCATCAAATTCCTGTTCAATTTTGCCTTTTTCATATTCTGCCTTTGATATTCCAAATTAAAGTAATGTTATACTCTCTGAACACAATGCCTTTGTTCTCTTGTGGTTTGACTCCCATTGCATAGTGCAGTATTGTCCTTACAGTAAATTGTCTTGCTCCCTTAATGCCTTCAATTATTTGAATGACAGCAACTAGCAGTTACCCATAAACTCCTTCAGTGATCTAGTATCTGACTCAGAGTTGCCACCAAAAATATTTGTCATACTGACAAATGAGGTAATGAGCAAGCGAATGATTTTATTGTGTCTATACAAGGACAGGTGTTTGGAAAGGAACTATGACGATGAATATTAAATTGATGCGGAGAATGATCAGCCACATGACATGAAACAACTAGCTGAAATGAAGATATTTAAATTAGCTTTAGTGAAACTCCAAGCAAGTGATTTTACTATTCATAAGGGCCTATCACAAAACGTAGTTTATTTAAAAGAAAAATTCAACTGATTTTCAAAATACGACAAATGTGAATTTAATTTATGAAAAGAGAGCCAAGATGATAGGCTGATAAATGATAAAGTGTTTACATTGTGGATTTGGTTACAGATCAACTGTGATGAAAAATGAGACTCCAACAGATACTGTACAGCAAGCACTGTCCCTAGGTTACATATGCTAGTATAATTTAAAGATCTTAGATTCTCATATGCATCAAAAATCATTTTGTCATTTCCTGCTGTGTAGTTACTGACATTTCACAAAATTTGGTCGACACAATTTCTCATTTTATTAATTTCTGAACATGTAACCCCCATTATCATACTAAAACTGGCAATTAATTTAGGAAGCTTAGCTAGTGTACTTTGGAGTAAATTTGAAGTCATACACTTAAACAAAGAGAGCTTTTGGTTCAGGAAAACAAACAGGAATTTAATAGTTTTAAAAATTTCATTTTTAACAATTGGATACATTTGGCATTCAAAAGCCATTAGGACATCTTGAACCATCTTACCACAATGAACTGGAGAGAAAACATAAAATCATCCTGAAACTGCATTTGGTCTGTTTAGTGAAGACCTACGTTGTATTACTGTAGCTGTTCATGATGTTGCTATGTGTTCGTTACTTTATTTTTTTTGATCTTTATGTATCCCTAAAGATAAGCATTATTGACATTTTTTCTTAATATTCTTCCAAATACAAAAATGTAAAATGATCTTGAGATTTATGCTATTTGAATAATGCTACCAAGAAGTTTTGTAGAGAAACTCTGGAACCTAATAAGTATACGCTTTCTAACAGTTTACAACAGAAAAAAATATATATCTACCCAAACTTTAACTCTCTTACCTTAAAAAAAAATCAGCTTTCAAAAATAGCCTTTATAATTGAAATGAGCTTTACAGATGCTTTAATTGCATACAAATTCCTCCTATGAAAATGGAAATGGAACTTTGGATTTTACTTAAATAGGATTTGCAAACACAATGGTGAAAAATGATGAACATTTTCTTACTATTATGAGGGCAAGAAGTTGCTTCTGACTATGGGCATCTCTGGAATTCTATACCGCCTCATATACCGCCTCATGTCAAATTAACATATAACATTAAGTTCCTGAACACCCGAAGGCATCGTTAAAAAAGCCCAAACAAGATACAGCAAGTAAAAGCGCAGCTGGTGGAGCCTGGCATCCACCTTGGCGCAGCCGCACTAACAGAGCTGTGCAAGAAGCCTGTGCACTCCGAACGATCACTGAGCCTGCTCCAGATGCATCATTTTCAGCAATGAGCCACTCAAGAAATATGTCGTTCTGTACATAAATTATGCCTCCTACATTCAGGAAGTATTTTTCTTTCTTTCTGAATGGAGAATAAGGTTTCCACATTTTACTGTGTCTTAATGAGCTTTAAAATGACTGCGCTGAAGTATCTGTAGTATTTGTATTTAGAGGAATAACCTTTTAATAATTTATATTCATGTTCTCCTAGAAAACCCAGTGGTTTGATTTTCAGAAAACAGTGTGGGCATGAGAAATTATATTACATGAGGGCAAAACTCGGAATTAATTCATAAATACATAAAGATGGCAATTATGAGTGATTTGGAAACAAATTCGTTGGTCCCATTCCTATCCTAAGGACCTGAGTAGCACAAGCTTGTTTATAATAATCCTGATCTTAAAAACCTGGACCTAGCCATAACATTGAAATGTGCATACCTAAAGTGTTCATATCACATGATCAAAAAATGCTAACCTTTATACATGCATGGAAATGCCAATGAATAATTTATTTCTTGGGTGTAAATTTAGGATTTGATAATGAGTTAGGCACTCTGGAAAACCAATGCCTAAAGAGTAATTGACTAAATGGCTCTCTAGTGACCAATGAGAAAAGATGAATGAATAGAACAGCTTAAAGAGAATGCAAATCCTTGCTCAACAACAGCCCCTGGACTGTTTTATTTTTTTCTTGCTTTATCTACAGAAATGAACACTGAATGGTTTTTTCATTGTAATCTAAATAAGAAGGGCTGGGACACAATAGTGAAAAAACAGTGATTTTACATTTTTTCCAATGTCACAGTGAGCACAATGAAGAGCTAGAGCAGAAAGATACTCCTTTCTCTATTTCCGAAATTCATTAAGAAATGCATTTCCTATACTCCAATGTATATCAAAATTATTGCAAGGACAACATATTACAGTAAACACTATCTCTGTTATCTAATGAAATTAAATATCATTAATTTAGTACACATAAAACTCACATTATTTATTCACACTGCCTTGTTCTGATGTAATAGTGATCACAAACACTGCAATCTTCATCAAAGAATTTTGTTGCTGGAGTTTTGAAAATAATAGCTTTGAAAAATCCTCTGACCTTTTCAAGTCTGGATTCTCACCAGATCTACAGGGGTTATTTCAATAAAAGCTCAGCCAACTCAGCTTCAGAAGAAAACTTGAAGATGAAAACTTATTTACAATGAACTTAATTTTCTAAAAAATCACAGAAGCAAGTACATTAAGAATTTAACACCTCTAATTTTTAAATAATTAACTTCCATGTCCTTGTCATTTGAACCTCTTAGAAAAAGCAATAAATGAGATGAAAACATTGGAAAGCATGAAGACAGGTGGATGAAAGAAATAGACACACTTATTTGATAAAAGAAATGCATACTTTGGAACTCTGCGATATTTCCCACGGACTTACAATTGTACTATATATCTGCGTGTCTGAATTGGTTTTCTGTAAGCAATGTTCTAAGTAAATATTAAGGAATAATTGTCGACATTATTTTAGAACTGATACATCCTACTTGCATTAAAATGGTCCACCAAATACTGCTCATAAACAAAAATTGGCAACTTTCGTTTTGGAAGTAAAACAATGATTAGATCATCAGGCCAGTTACAACGGCACAAAGGGAATGACAGAGACACCTCTGCTAAATTGGGGCAAGTTCAGCAACAGAGTGCTTGATATCTAGGTATCTGAACTTTATCCATATATATTACAGAATAACATCCATCACCGGGTAGATTTCAATGGAAGAACACAGAATAATTGGAACACTGATATTTTATTTATGGATGTCACAACAAAGAAACTATAGTTATGAAAAATAATGAGGCAGAGGGATCAAAGATAACAACATATAATTTTCATCTCATAAATGGAACATTATATATTTTAAAAATAACCTAAGTACAGTTTACCAGTGAGAAACAGAGTAAATGTGAGAATTCCTGAGCCTGGCAGGAACTTTCATTTAGCTGAGCTGCAGAAACAATGATTGAGATTAATGCAGTTGAAATAATGCTCCTGGGAGTCGAGAATTCCATAGGTATCTCAAGGTGTTTCTAAAAGTCAGTGCATTTACAAAAAGTGGTTTTAATGCATATGAATCATGCTGTTAATATCCAAAGGAAACATATTCATGAATGACATTCCAAGCACAGAACAATGAAAATGTTATATTCAAAATGTCTAATGTCTGCTTTATAATTCACATGAGTCTGTTCATGAATGTTGATGACAATATTTCCTGGAAATAACTCACATGGCAAATAACAAATATTAGGATGATTGTACACACAAAATTAGGTGACACAATTTCATAATTCTTAGGATTTTATAGACTCTCATAGGGAAAAAAAAATGGTTCTTCTGAGTAACTGATTTCCATTAGCTAAGGTTGTTCTGTCCCTAATGCTATAATCAGAACTCACGTCAGCCATACTTGAAACCATGTCATGACTTGAAATTGAAAAGAAGAAATTGAGTAAACATAACAAAATATTTTTTAACTGTCATTCTTCCCAAGTAATAATCCTAGCCAATATTTTCATTCTACAATTTATGTTGCTAAATTAGTTTGTTGCCTTTATTTTGTTTGTTGTTTATCACACACACACACACACACACACATGCGCACACACACACAGGTTTATGTGCACACAAATTTTCGCTTCCACAATTCCTAGCAACATTCAAAAGAAGTTATAAGAAGTTGTTCATCTTCAGTTTCTTGGTGAAAATAGAAGAGTTTTGCCTTCTATTTACCATACAAGCTTCCAAATAGTTCCTGTAGTTGTGAAACCAAATAGCAGAGAATGAAGATACTAGCTTTAAAGGATATGCGCTTTCAATTTAACTAAAGTTAGTTTTTGCTAAAATTTCCTAAGACAAAGTTCCATAAATATTCACCCTAGCTTTGAGGTACCTTTGTGATTTTGTTCCAGGTAGATATACATGTCAAACATGATTAATCCTGCCTATTTTGCTTCAGTAAGAATTTATTCACTGCAAATATATTTGAAATTGAAATAGAATAAGTAATTCATTCTTTTTTCACCTCTTCATAAGTGGGAAAAGATATAAATAGAAAGCCATTTGATTTTATATATTAAGTGACCATAATTTTGGTTTCTATTTTCTTAGTAATTGAAGCTCCATTCTCCTAATAGTTATCCAGATAAATTAAAGATTTTGGTGCAAATTGGTGTTCTCATAGTAGCCTTATTTATTTATTTACAAATATGATAATTGCATAATCTTGAGAGAAAGACTTTCGAGTTAGAGTGTTTGTGGCTGCTTAAAACTCTTGGCTATGCATGTGTGCACACTCACTCAGACACACTTTTTCTTACTTGCATACTGGTGCACAAAATTCACATGAACATTTTATTTAATCAATGAAATGTATACCTAAAAAACTGAAGCCACAATTAAAATGATTCTAGAAAACTCAATAATTCTCTAAGATATTTCTATTACCATCTTTTCTTGGCCAAGTTTGACTGAGTGACAACTCATTCCAATAGTGCAAAAATTCAAAGTCTGTTAATCTACAAAGTAATTTTCTTGAGTCTTTAATTTATGCAGGAGTGCTTACTGTTGTCTAGAAATCTCTCTAGATCTGTGAGTGGAGGTTGTTGAATTCTCAGTCTTCTCACATTCTAGACTGAGGTACTATAACTCAGATGCATGTTTAAGGTTTGTCTTCATAAACAACTGTGCCTAGCTTCCTTAGATGGTGCTTCCAAAAAACTGATTAACTTACTGGTAACACATCAGAAATATGCCTTCTAACATCAAAAATCATTCAGACTTAATAAAATGAGGATATGTGAAGACAATAGTTTTCTCTTCCAATGCCTGGTGTAGCCAAAGGAGTTATGGCAACAGCAGATTACAGTCACGTTATGGTTAGCACACGATGCTGGGAGATGGAAAAGGGAATTTCACCTTGACAGAAGTAGCACTTTACTTCCATGCGTGATATGGAACAACAAAAACAGCGACATGTTAAATGCAGAACACATATTATAATCTCAGACTGCCCAGGCTTGTGATTCAAACTGTGTTTAAAGCCTCAGAAGAGAGGTATGACTGCTTGATATTGGGATGGAATGCTGCGTGGATAATATTTTACTTGGAACAATCCACACTGTGACATCGCATGGCAGGCTTCACACCTGGGGGCCAGTTTCACAATCCTCTTCTCACTGTCAGGGCGTAAGCGCGTGCTAACTGTTAAGGATGTACACAAATGGAGAAATCAAAGCAACGCTGGCAGCGATACACAGAGGTGGACGGCACGGAGTGACAGTGGGAAGGGACACTAACCATATTAGGCTTGGATGGGCAACGGCGCACAGGGAAGAAGCCCTTCCACAGCCACACTCGCAGCAGCTGAAAAGCAAACAAGAGAGCCCAAGATAAGGAGGAGATCCCGACCCCAGAAGACAGCATCAAGAAACTCAATGTACTCAGGTGTCTGCTTCCAAAAACAAAATCCCTAAATGCATGCAATCAAAAACTTTCCACAATACTGTTCCAATGAAGAAGCTTTTAAAGGATTTAAAAATAGAGTAATGCTAGTAGTTTCTGTTTTACTTAGAGTTAGTAGTAGGAAATATAAAAAACCAATATTTTTGAATTCACTGTATGCAATTAAAATAGATATACAAATAAAGAGTTAAAGCCATTTAAGTGTATGTTCCCTTAGAAATACTTTCAGAATACACATTGGACGACATCCTAAGTAGCCCTTTAAATGTAAGTTTTGTACAAAGTCTGTAAGTTTAGAGGGAGAACTAAGTCTTCCTCATTTGGCCCACTGATTCCTTAGGCAAGTGGTATTATTATTTATCAGAGCCTATTGAAATGCCTATATTTATTCGATTTATCCATTCACTTCTGGAAGGCTACTGATTTAAATTTTCATTTTCAGATTTAAGAAATACATACCCAAATATTTATTTTTACATCTATTGGTACATGAAAGGAAAGCAAATTGCACATATTACATACACTTTTCTGAATACTGCAATACTCAAAAGGCCTTAAAAATTGCCAAATAGCCACAGCAAAAGTAATCCAGAAAATACAGTAAGTTATATCATAAAATGCATTTCCTTTACAAAAACCACATACATGGCTGGCACAATCTACTGAAGAAATTATTTAGTGCTTCAATGCATTCACTTTCAGGCATTTTTTTATGAATAGCATTTACAATAATTTCAAGAGGACTGTAATATGAATTCAGAAATGATAACAGGTACTATCAAATCTTGGCTTCTGTTTAAAAAGGAGTTGTGCTTTGAATTACTTAAATATATCCACTTCAGTTTATAGGGAATAAGAGAAAGATAATAAAATATAAATATTTAATAAATTTGCAAATACTGATGAAAGTAGACAATATTTCCAAGTCAATATGGATCATTTTCAATGGAAACCAATGTTATCTATATATTTTTTTTGTAACAATGACAATATCTAGGGTCTGATGATTTGGCTGCCATTTAAGTGGAATATTAATAAACAAATGGGTATCATGACATTTATTTTGAGTTTGACTAGCTAATAAATTATACTTTAAAGCCCGTGCTACCCATTTCCCCATTGAAATATTAGAAGCTGGAGTTGCAACATACGAAAATACTAAAAACTCAAGGACTAGATTAAACATCAGAGAAACATTTTTAAGATCTTGATATACTTCTTTATATTTACATTTAATTAATGACTGCCTTAATTATGAAACTATTTTATGGATTCTATTTCTTACGGCTGCATCCTTATCACAACATTCAAATCAATGTTAGCGAAAACACAGCCCACAGGAGAAATCCAGCCACTTTCTGCCTCTGAGAACACAATCATCTCGGAGCACAGCCAGGCCTGTTGTTCTTGCCAAACTTCTTTCCTGCCAGGGTGGCTGAGTGGAGCAGTGATGCCAGGGACTGAATGGCCCACAGAGCCCAGAGCAGTCGCCCTCCAGTAGAAGCGTACCTTCCTTTCCTGGACTGTTGACTTCCTGAGTTGAGGATAATCCTGAGATCCCTTTTTTTATCACTTTTCAAGCACAAAGAATGACACTTCAGTTGCCGATGTATTACTGCAACTGCTATTCACTGGCGGTACATGTGTCTCAATTCACTGTGATCTAGTATAGAAAGCCGATAGATAGCAGTTCCAATTTGCTAAATCGTAATAATTTTTGGTTGTTGACTATCATATTCAATTGTTTCTCAGTCAGAAGATGACGCTGTCTGCTCATGAAGTGAAAACTTGAAAGCATCCTTGCAGGTGAAGGAGTGTGGAGTTTACAAATCCATAAAAACTGTGCTGGGAAAAAGTGTCCACCATGCTGTGACTGCCCATTAGCTAACAGGATTTGTTAAATATCTGGTCACTGCTGTCATACTCAACAGATAAAGTAGGGATTCTAAAAGAAATCAGAACTTTTTTCAGGTCTCTGAAAACATTAATATGCCTTGTGTCCTTCCAGTAAGTACACACACACACACACACACACACACACACACGTGCACACATTTACACGCAATTCAGCGTCACAACAAATCTACAAATTCCACTCCTGAAGAATATATGTTACCTTACCCATCATTAGAATTCTACTTTAGACATTCAATGAAATTCAGTTAGAAAACTAAACACACATAAAATGAAACTTACACATTTTTTTTTTCTGAATCATTGTTTTAGATTTTTTACTGAGGCTACCTTTGGCCTGTCTTTAAAAAGCCTGAAAAAATTGCCTTCGACAACACAGTAAACTCCTTTGTGTTTAGGGTACAGCTTTAAAGTATGTTAATAATAGGTTTTATTGCATAGGTTTTTTGAAAATAGAGTGAGAGAATACATATTTTTCATTTTGATCAGCATCTGGCACATCAAACATTGGGCAGAAACTGGCAGCTCTACCATGATTACTGTAATCGAACAGAATCTCATTCTCTGGACAGAATTGTTTTTTCTTCATTATCCATATAACATTATCATCCTAAGCTTATTTATAATGCAACCAAATGATTGTATTCAGTTCAATTACCTAGATAGGTAATCAGAAATGCAATTTGGAAAAAAAAAAAAAAACTATTTCCACATGCTGTTGAGAAAACGAAAACTGAAGTTTCCTTTCTATAAATATCTGAGATGGATTAATAACTCCTAACGTAACTCCGAGGAGGCTGTCACCACGCCATCTCAGCACCAGATGGTATAAAATATAGTCTTTTTTAATCAGTCAATTTTCAGATAAGCGCAGGTTGAAAATCCTTACAACCCCTGGAGATAATTTAGATATAGAAACCAAAATGTGCTAGAAATAGCAGCCAATCTAATTTCTGCGAACTGCAGTTGAACTGGGGGGTACATTTGCATTCCCATCACTTTAGCACCTGGAACTCCATAAGTAACCGTGTGAAGCCGTAACAAGATCATTATTATCCAAGTTTAAAATAGGTAAAATCTTCCTGGCTTATTATCAAACCCCGTTGGTCTTTTTTCCAACAGGATATTTTAATGCCTTTTTTTTTTCCAAATGATTAAAATGCGATCACAGAGGCTTTCCAGACTCAGAGCAAATTCAAATAAAGTTGTTTTGGCCAAGCAAAGCTTTCTGAAAGTTGAACAATATAAGAAAGAGAAATTGACTCCTGAGAAGAAAGTCACTCTTCCCAGGAGGAAATTCCCAAGGGAGGCCGCCCCAAAATGCAAGACTGCGTCCTATGGATAAAGGATGAGTTAAATTCTTCAACAAGAGATCAGAAGGGAAGTAAGAAAAAGACTAACGCAGAAGGAAGAGCAATTTTACAGAAGAAATACTCTAGTTAAAAAACACATCCTAACAGTAAGATGAAGGACCCTCTGACAACATCCATGCCTACATTGTCTGGAAACACGTCAGTAACAGTGCAAGGAACTTGTGAGTGTCCCGGAAGGAGAACCACCGTAAAACTCGGGGGGAAATCCATGGGGCAGGTGGGGGACCTCAGGAAAGGCATGGGCAATCCCAGAGTGAGCCAGTGAGGAAGGCAGTGACAATGGTGCAGATCCTGCAGAAAACAATATACTTAAACTCTGACTTCTGGTTTGGCGTGTTTGCACTTCCCAATGACGAAAAGGCAGTGTATATTCAGGAGCGACCCTTCCAATGTTACATGATGCTTTCCCACCCTACCCTCACAGGCTGGTGGTCATGCCATACATCGTTGTCCACGTGCTGGCAGCTGCTCTTCAGCCTTCTGGCTCCCAGTTGGAACCCTGAACACTGTGCTGGGTCACTGAGCTTCGATGTGCAGTAGCATCCACCCGCTCAGCGCGTTTTCTAAGTCACAATGTTTTCTGCCTACATTTGCTGTATCAATCATTGTAAGCAGAGAAGCAGCCGCACCTTGGACCTACCAGAGCATGAGGAAGTGGTCTAATGCATGAAGAGCGTAAGGCTTGCATTGAGCCTAGGAGCAGTCCTCAGTGTAACTGCTACTGCAGGTGTGGCTTTGCGTGGAAACATCAATGAGGTAAGTAATTACAGACACTACTACACAGTGTTGCTTTGAAGAATGGTTTAAGAATGCATGCAAAGCTCTCAGTGCTGTCCTGCGAGTGCACACAGCATTTAAAAGTTTCTCATAGTATTGCCGAAGGGCAAAGATTGGGTTAAAAGAATATCCCTGAAGCTGAACACAGATCTTACAGGAATTACTAACACTGTAAACAAATACAGTAAACAAAACGTTATTTCTGGAGTCAACAAAACAATGAGAAATACATATTTTGGGTATAAAATAAATGTATAAGTTGCCTGTGGATTGGGGGGGGTGTTGTGGAAATTGAGCATTAATCTACTTTTAATTAGGTAACAATCATGTGAAGATAAATGAAATGATAGGACTAGAGCACATCAAACCCCTAAGACATACGGTGCTAATGTTACATTAATTATAGCTATGGGAAGGGTTTTGATTTTCTCTATTTCACTTATAATTTGAATAAAATAACAAAAGAATTGAAACTATCCCAATTTTGAGCCTTTCTGCTCAAACTGATATTCACAACTTACCAGTTTTAAAGTGATTAAAAATAATGTAAATGTGCAATTAACATTTACAGCTCAGGAAACTGGGGAAACTGCCCACAGTAATTAACACTGATGCTGTTAATTCTTGTCCATACTTCTTAAGGTATCGCTTGGGGCCCTGCTACCATGCCTGTAGTTTCTATATCCCAATAAAATCCTATGTTGATATGCTGACCTCCACTGTGACAATTAGACTCCCAGCAACAAAATCAGGCTCCCCATCAAACAGAATGAAGACAGCACCTTGGTCCCTTCTTGAATGTGAAGATCGCAAGAAAGAAGTTATCTTCAACATCTG